TAGTGATAATAATAATAATAATAAACAATGCGGAAAAGATGGTGGATTGAAAATATTTGAACTTCTAAAGCTCAACTTTTGCCATATTTAAAAAAACGATAATTGCCATTAGTTTTATCCATTATCAATTTTACTTAATTATTATGGAAAATATACTAAAAGGTGTAATAGGGATAACAAATAATATATCAGAATTATGATATGATAATAACAATTTGTACACAACTATTTGATTAATTTTATCTTGTAAATTTGTTGATTCGTTAATCAAATCTGCAAATGTGAGAAGAAAGTCTGTTGGAGTATTTTTCAATTGACAAAAAAAAAAATTATTCAAATTATTCAAAAATTATTCAATTTCTTGAAAAAAGCAAATGTGAAAAGAAAAAGAAACGATTCCCAACTTTTATTTCAAAAGATTTCAATTTTGATTTCGTCTCTGTCACCCTTTTTTTTTTTTGGGAAACAAAAAAACTTCATGTTATTGGAAGATAATGAGTAAAAAATTATGCCATAAAATTGTAATTTTGTGAATTTTCACAAAAATTTTTTAAATTTCCCAACATCAGTAAGTCATAGAACATTTCCTGACGGCCCAAGTAGTATAGTGGTTAGTACTCCACGTTGTGGCCGTGGCGACACAGGTTCGATTCCTGTCTTGGGCAATGGCAAGTGGAAGCATTAGCATTGTGTGTGTCACGCGCTCTTTGTCTCCCCTTTTATTTCAATTTCTAGAATTGAAAATGCATGATAGGATTATGGATATTGTTTATTATTAGCTTATAAGATATAATGATATAATTGAGTATGAATCATTTTCAAATAAATAGGCATATTTTAAGCAAACAATAAATTTGAATAATTTTTTTTTTTTTTGTCAATTCAAAAATACTCCAACAAATCTCCTTCTTACACTTGAATCAATAAATTTCGAGAAAACTATATATAAAATTTCAATGAAGTTTTTTTTTTTTTTTTGTTCCGGCAATAATCGATTTTAATAAAAAAGGAAATTTAGCACTTTATGACACGCTAAAATCCCCGGAAATTTCATATCACCATCATCATCATCATCATCATCATCGTAGCATCTTTGTAAATCCCCAGGAATTCCATGTCATCATCATCATCATCACAATCATCAACATTATCATTATCATCATCAACATCAACATCATCTTGCCATGTCATCCACTGCATCTCACTTCATGTCTATTTCATTCTATTTCATTCCACTTTAACCTTATCTTACCTGACTGACCCTTCTTCATTATTCCTCATAAACCTTTCTCTTCAACCTTTCATTATTATCATCAGCATCATCACCATCATCATCGTCATCAACATCATTATCATTATCATCATCGTTGTCGTCGTTGTATTCCATTTCCTTTTTATCATCAACATATCAGAATCATATATTTCGCATCATTTTGTAAATTGATAATTGTTTGTTTTGGAATAATTCATGGCGAATCATTTCTCAGTTACTTTCTCGTCGATATGTTCTATATCTTCCTATTATCAGTAATGTCAACTGTTGTCATCAATGATAATATCTCACATTATTCAATGCAAAGAAGGACATATCACATCACATCACACTAGTCCTTTAATTGTATGAAAGTAATCCATATTAGCTCTATTTACTTTTCTATTAAGTAAACAAACACATACATTACCAGATAATAGACTTAACTATCTTCAAAAATATACCACAATTGATTTCTTTTATATACCAAAACAATATTTTTCTTTCCATACTCTTTGAATTAGTTTATGTTTCCTTTTTTTTTAATTATATATTTTATCAAGTTAAACATTTCCAATTTCGTATATTATATTCTATTTAATATCATATCCATTAAATAGGGTATAAGTCACAATATTGTATCCTATTTAAATTTAAATTAATTAAAATTATATTTGTAACAATCTTAGGTTTGTTCAATTGTAACAAACTAAATATACAATGTGACATTGATAAAATGAATTTGAAATAAAATTATTAGAAATGAGAATACAAATGTTAGGATACGAATGAAATGATACAATTTTCGATTACGAAACAAAGTATCATATCATTCAAAATTTAAATTTTTCATAAACATAATGGAATAATAGTTTACGATTAGTTTATTAATAAATGAAAAAGTATTCTATGTTATAAAAGAGTTTTTCAGAGAATATTAAAAATACAAATTTAATTATCAAACTTGTTGAATTAATGCATATCAAAGCTTAAAATAATTCGAATTTGAATAATTAAACTATAGAAACTCTCTTGGATTGCATGTTCAAATCCTTTTTTCAATGGGAGTTTGCTTTACAGTAATCCAAAAAATTAAAATCGATTGACCCTATGATAACCTAAGATTGATTCATTGCAAGATCTCAAATGAGCCACATGAGAAATTGGAATAGTTTTCGAGAGTCGGATTAATTATACTTAAGTTCTACCCAATACCGTATCCGTATACGTATATATATAATATCCTTTCATGAAAAAAAAAAACAGCAAATGGAATACTGTAATGGATTTACTAAAAAAAAACGGCAAATGGGATACTGTAATGGATTCACTAAAAATATGGCGGATCTAATTATATCATTATTTAATTGTTGAAATGATTGAAGTTGTGATGAAAGATCAACGAATGTTAACATTGGAGGGTTTCAATTCAAGGTTAAGTTGACATACCTATTTATGGCAAAAAAAAAAAACTAAGATAAAAACTTAAGGAAATCAGTATATAAGAGTAGCATTGATTAAAATTTGCAAAAAATACAAAAAACAACGGGACGATGTGGAAGATAGATCTCTCACATTCCGCGAGTAGATAAAACTTGCTAGAAAGCTGTGTTCTGCCCGTGAGCTACCAAATATCCAGGTTAGCAATATGCCAATATTGACCTAAGGTGATTCTTTACAATATACCAATATTGGAAATGAATTTAATAATTAACGTGAATTGATTTACAATATCAATTAAAAGTTTTGACAATCTTTACATATGTTAACATTATTTTTATACGTAAAATATATTTCGATTTTTACAATATGATAATTATTACAATATGAAATTATCATATTAAAAGGATTAATTATAATTAATTTATTCGTTTGATACTATTAACATATTCATTCCATTATTTGTATTTGAAATTTCTCTTTAATAATTGAAATATTTTGAAAAATAAAAGAAATTATTTTTGCATAAATAGCAAATAAATGTATAGTAACAGTAATTAATTTATTATTTAAAGGAAAAGTTTATTTGTTTACTAGCAAAGCTGAAATATAAATGGTTATATTTTAGGAATTGACATTAAGGTTAGATGTATTTCATTCACCAATCATTTAAATTTGGAATTTGATATAAGAAAAATGAAAGATGCTCTTAGGCATTTTTTTTTAATTAATGCAATTGTATTGTTTAAAATTTTATCCTTGGCCAATACCCATATTTAATAGATATTGGCCAAGGATGAAAATATAGCACCAATAAATTGAATTCATAAATTTTCAAAAAATAAATGTATGATGGTATGTTATAGATTGAAGGATGATGTGAAATTTTTGTAAATTAAAAGAAAGTGAAACGTTGAAACATAAGCCTTACAAAGAGAAAAAAGGACAATCTTTAATTCCATTTTTCTGCTTTGAAGGGTACTGCTTGATCGTTGCTTAATATTTACTATTTCAATTTTTTTCATCGGAAATAGAAACTTTAATAGCAATAATAATAATAATAATAATAGTAATAATAATAATAATAACAATAATGATAGTAGTAGTAATAATAATAATAATAGTAATAATAATAATAATAATAATAATAATAATAATAATAATAATAATAGACAATAAATAATAATAATA